TTCAATCAATAACCCTCTATCTATTTAATATGTATAAAAGTGCAGGCAGATTGGCCTCGGTACTTCTTAAATATTCGGTTTAGTCGGAGCATTTAGAACGTCAATTTTTTTGTAATAGAGTTATTAATTAGACGGGTAGTTTTTTTAAAGCGCTTTACTGAATAAAACAAAATTCGCACATACAGTGAAAACATCGAACTGTGGGCTCCTTAAGAGCCTCATATTTATGTTTAAGATAATAAATTAAATTTGCGCATTATCGTACATGTGTCGTTTACATATTATGGATATTTAAGAATTAATAGGATTCAGTGCGTGTTCAATTAATTTAAATTGTACTGAATAAAGATAATTTTGTCAAGCGACTAATACTTGATGCAAATTATCTATACAGACACGTTATCCGGCAAATATTGTTTCCGAAAATACTAAACGGAATCGTGTGTGATATGGTACTATCCTGACCGTGTGAAATGTTCATATTGAAAAACATTCAATATTTTTTGCAAACCAAACGTGCATGATACAAGACCTTTTATTTTTATAATTTATTATACATTTATCCGATGCTGAGTGTGACGAATCTATACGCCGTAGACACATTCCGAAAATCGAACATGATAAGAATTTAATTTATTCGATTTCCACACCAGATCAGCGTAAAAATGCTACAAACATAAAATTCGTAATCAATTCTTGCAACCACAAGTGTTATGTAAATAATATGGAAATCTGTTTGTATAACAATATTAAGTTTTGTTAATGCAATAATTTAATATTAGACCATTTTTTTAAAGGTTCTCAGTTTTGTAAGTAGGTAGTATTACTGTCATATACCGATAAAATGTATCAATTTGATTGTGAACGTACTCAAGTCTTGACCGGGATTTATCACAAATTTTAAACAAATTAACAGTTGATCTCAAAGTATCTACCATCTCGTTTGTATTTGAATTATTGAACTATTAATAGATATTTCGGATAGTGTGTAAATTACTAAAATATAGCTACGTTTAAACTTGAATTTGAGGAAATATTTTAACTTGATTTTCTTTTTAAGTAAGTAATAACAGTATCATAATAAAAAGTTTCTCTTTAAATGGTCAGATGAGTCCTTCAAATCAAATTTAAAAGACATTTTCAATAAACCTAAATAATGTCCCTATAGGTATTCAGAAACATTACTCAACTCCAGTGAGCATTGCCTAACGGAAACAATGAATTAAAAAAATTATAAAAATTCAACTCTCAACTTAGTCACCGATTTAGATGACTCCGTCAAGTAAAAGTAAAGTATCTTGGCAGCGGAATGTACAGCGTGTCCCAATAATTGAGTTTAAGGCCTTTAAAAATATTGGTATTATTTATATAGCGTGTATCATAAAAGGTGCTAAAATTGGCACTGCCAATGTATTGTGGAAGATTTGTGCCATTAGAAACAAAGTATTTTCTACTGGCACAACCTATATTTAATTTAACTTTTGAATTCTTACGTGAAATTCAATTGCTTTTTGGCATTTTTTGAGTTCTTGTTTCTGGTAATTTGTTTAAACGAGTTTGCGTTACTTGTGCACTAAAATTGGAAAATACCGTGAAGTTGGGTGAAGTAAGGTGTTGCCGAATTTTGAAAAATTAGGCTGATGCAAATAATTTCTGTGAAAAAAAATAACAGGCCTGGTGGAAAAGTTTGGTGAGTTTGCAACTTTAAGAAAAAATAAACTGTAAAAACGAAAACACTGGAAATGGAGAAATGGGGATGCACTTAAAGGGTTTTTTTTTATTTGCGGCCAAACGTGACTTCCTAGCGGAAAACGTTCAACAGGAAAGTTTAAGAAAATAATAGAAACCTCAATATATAATATAACCGCAAAGTAACTGTCAAAATTGCAAAAACCCGATTTTCAGCCTATTTGTTTTTTCTCGCGAATACATTATTAAATTGGTTGCAAAATTACGCACACAATCATATGTATGAGCTTATCAGTTTCGTCTACTGTTTCCTGTATGGACGTAATTCTGCTAAGTTTTCAACCTTGAATGAATTATTTTTTTCTTTTCATTGAAATTTTCTACTTTGGTGGCAGTTCGGCAACATGGCTGACCAGTATGCAATTTTTGGCTGCGCGTAACCTGCGTGCAGGCATGTGCGCGTGCCACAGCAGATCGTACCGTAAAGCATTACCAAACTCAAAGGACACTTCGGAGACTCAAAAGACAAGATCACCGTTTTGTTCTTGAAACTATGTACTTATCATAATATCAAAAGTAGTTTAAGCGTAAAAATAAAAATAATGGAATTTCGCCCATAGCACAAATAATAGCAGAAGCGCTCTATAATATGAAGATATATTAAGTTTAAATATTGCTCTTACTGTTATAGAAGTGGTTACTGTTGTTCCCGTTTGTCAGCTCCATCCGTATTCGGTGAGGCTGACTGGCCGGTATGAATCGCTCCATTGTTGCACTATACTAAAACTTTGTCTCGAAATGGTTCAATTAACAGTTAATAGATCACAGATTTCCGACTTAGATGAACTAATCATCGGCTAAATGAGAAACTAGTACTGTGTTACCAAAACCTGCCTATTCTAAAATAGACCGGTACCGAAATGAAGTTGCTGCCACTCAAGCACCAGTTCCAGGCCGGGAAACTTTATGGGGAACTACCGCACAGAGTTGCCAGGTCCGAAAATCGAGTTTCGGTAGATAAGCTCGACACTTTTCGGTAGAAAATCGGTACTCATTTTTTTTCATTATTAAAGGCTCCATAAAATCGCCCGTTTTTAAAAAATTTTGAACTTACAGGAATATGTACTAAAATAAACATGAGTCAGTAAAGAAGTAAAGATGAAATTGTACTCGTTTTTAGCTTATTTCTCAACTTAGTTTTCATTAGATTAACCCATGATACAATGAATACACGAACACATGAATGTATTCATTGTATCATAAGATTAATATTTATGATGCAATCATTTATTCATCAGCATTCATTTATTCATTGTATCATTGATTGATTTTTTTTTGAAAATGAACTAAAATACGGGGTGTGCTAAAATAAAATGTCTGCTTCTACCAACGTACTTTGATCATGAATGGCAATATGTTATATTACTTTAACTAATCCACGGAAATTTTGTCAACTTATTGTTTATTTGTTACTTTTCGGTAGAAATCTGCATGTTATCGGTAGATCGGTAGGTTCCTTGACAAATCGGTAGATCTACCGAAAATCGGTAGACCTGGCATCTATGCTACCGCAATACCTTATGTGGAACTACCGAAATGCTAAAAGCAGCATTGCCAACAAACAGCTACAATTTCAGGTTGGCCGACACGAATTTATGTGACCGGTGACGCTTTTTTCTTATTTAAGGGTATCTCCCTTACTTTCGATTTCAATTGAAGGGCTTGTCTAAAACCGGACAGCTCCATTTTTTTAAATTTTACAGGATTAACAAAAAACTGTTTTATATAACAGACAAAAATTATTTCATTTTGGAGTGTTTCTTAATTGTGGGAAATGCTACTAGAAAATATTATTTGTTCTTTAAAAATACATACATAAAAATAATTTTTTCTCGGTTAAACAGGATTTTTTGAAAATACTGAAACGGCGACAAACATAGCCTTAAAACATCTCAACTTCTACATATTCATTTTCGCTATTCGGGGTTTATGGTACATCTACATTTTTTTAAATATTTAGGTCAGAAGATAAGTAAGTTTAATTATCACTTTTGCTGTTGTGGGTTCTCCGCCTAGGAAAGCTTTTATGTTCGTCTATCTGAGCCAGAGTTTTGCGCGAAAATAGCTATATGAAAACATTAAAATGGCAATATTTCGAAAACTAAACACTTTTGGAATAGACAACTTTACACAAATTTATCCTTGATTTTAATACTGAATACTGACTTAATTTCATTTTTAATTTTTTTAACCCTTTGTATTAATAGTGATTAGAATAGGATCGAAATTTTAATAAAGTAAGTCCCTTTCAACAAGGAATCTGCCTCCAATTAAGTAACACATATTTCCTCATGGAAAACATGAATAGTGTAAAAATATATGGGATGCTCGATTTAATAAAGCAAGTTTGATACCTACTTCCGGTATAACCAGAAGTGTGTCCATCTATACTTTAGGTCCCTTGCCCCCATGACCTCGGTATACTGTCCAGTTTTCAAATTTCTCCTGATTATAGTTTGCCATATATCGGTCACGGTGTTGGGACACCCTATATAAGTGACATGGTAAGGAATTAAGCAAGCAGCGCTTATTCTTGGTGCAAGAAATCGTAATTGAATCAACTTAGCAAAGTTTTTTTATAGGGCTGGTGTTTAGATCGTTTTTAAAACATCATAAACATTTTTGGCCGCAGCTGTAGAAACCCATGAAGTGTTCCATTAAAAATAAGCGAGAAATTAAAGTCAAAACTAGTGACTCACTGTAAGTAATGTACAAAATATAACCCACAAGTGGGAATAGAAATACCATTTTGTTTCTTTCCTTGAAAATTGGTATCTCTGTCTGTATTGAAGTTAGTTGCTGTTTTGTTAGTTAGCAACTGCTTTGAATGTAACTTTTTGCTAGAGAAAGTTATTCGGTGCCAAAAATATCAGCTTTATGAAATGTGAAGAAAAAAATACAATGATGCACGCAAATACACCCTAGGTGATAACCAAGAAATGGTCTGTATAGAACATTGTTGCACATGGAATTTAATAATGCTTAAATAGCGTAGAACCACTGATCCGGTAGATCCATAGCCGATCTAACCCTGGTTCAATGGTTCATTGAACACTCAACTGATAATTGTGTGAAAATTGCTTTTCATTTTATTGATATTAATGCATTTGAAAATTTAAATTCAAATAGATGGATTGCTTCAACTTGTATTTAAAAATGGGTAATCGCAGAATAATACTCATTCACATAGGTATTTGCGAAGTACACTTGACGACCACAACACACACAATATTATTAAAACTGCACTTGTTTGCCTTGAACAAAGTTTATGACGTATTTTATGTAACGCTAACAATGCCGTCATTAAATAGATCTATGAGCATCTAGATATGTGTTTGGGATCCTGTTCTTAGTTGCTATTTGCGTTCACCACCATTCCTACCGAACCTCATATGACCATAATCATCAAACTGCTCTTCGCGTTTTCCAAATCTAAGGTGACCGTAATCGTCAGAGTTAGTTTGCTGCCGTTTTGATAGATTGAATACATCGTCATCGTCTTCTAAAATCAAATAGAATATGCTGGTTATAATGATATTGCACTAGTACTTAAAGAACCATAAATTTGTAATTGGCCAATTCAAGAATGTTGGACTAATAATGAAAAAGATATGCTGCAAGTTTTTTATCCAGCGAATATTTGAATAATTTGATGCATAATGCTGTATTTATAGGAATATTAAATTTAATGCCCAACAACGCTTTTTGGATCCCAGGGAGTTGATGTAGCAAGTCTAGCGGAATAATTCCTTTCATATTTCATATAATGTTATTCTGTGCGCATTAGATCGCACTTAAGTGCTTAGGTTCGTATTTATAAGCAGATCTTGCCCAAGCCCAATGTTCGTATCTACTCGGTGGCAATTTTCGTATTTGGTTCTCGACTCTTAATTATCTCTTAATTATCATGGTACCGACAAAATTATATTTCTCCAATATACATATAAACTTACCATCAAAATCGTTGATAATTGCATGAGGTTTTAATCGTCTGTATTGAACTAATCTGTATGGATATTTTAAAAGTCCACTAGGCCGATTCTTTGAAAGTTCAACGTTACCGTTTGAGGACTCTGCGATGATGTGATTCATTTGACATAGTATGAGGAAGAAACATATGGCAATAATTAGGAAGTAGCTTGTAATGGCGTTTTTCATTTTCAACCTAAAAGCAATATTTAAGAAAATGTGTGAGACATCATATACCTACTAACTCTAACGTAAATTAAAATTTTTTTCAAGCAACTGTTTCAGAAATATGTAGATTTAAATTAATGCAAACTACAATTCAATCAAATGAGACTGGTATTTACGAAACGAAAGTGGGTTAAGTGATTAATAATTATTTTTAGGGATTTTCCCCTTTAGATAATATCATAGTATTGTTCTTGTTCCCTTAGCAGGTACCTACGGAGCTTTTTGCTAGAGGAAAAGTAAGCTATTTCTACTGCATTGTGTTTTGTAAAGGGAGCCGTCCTAGTTCGACAAGATTTATCTTTTCTAAAAATAGTGTCTTTGGCAGCTTTATGCTCTTTAAGATTATTAGATGCTGGGTTCAATGAAGTGATCCTCCAACCATCCCACTCTTTAATTGAAGAGTGGAAGCCAAAGTAATCCTTATAGAAAATGTATCAATAAATTCCCAATCGAATGGCAAACGAAATAATGGTTTTAAAATATTTCTCCGATTACTAATTATTGAAGTAAATGAAGTGAAAATGGATAATATAGACTTATTATAGATAGATAGAAACAGAAAACGAATTGGGTACCCAAACCAACAAGTGTATTATAAAAATATACGCAAAAATACAGGGTGTTTGTGCTTACTACTGTTAATATATTTCATTATTAAGAGGTTGTTAAGTTGGAAATAATCTCACCTTTGGCTAATGTTCGTCGACGAAAAGGAAAACTGCAACTACACTTTTCATTTTCGCCTCCGATCTTTTATATACAGTTACGCGACTGGATGTCTTATTTAAGATTCCACTCGCCAAACTTGTCAGTAAATTTGACTAATATTCTTAAGCAAATGACAGGTTCCTGAACTTTTTTAACCGATTTACTTATATCGTCAGACGTTTTGCACGTATTAATTATAAGACGTCAGATTATGTTATTTCTTTTAGCAAATATTATCTGAAACATAATAAACTCATATTTCCCACTGAAAAACAAGTGTTTTGCCTGTTCCATAGGACAATTCAGCAATGAAAATTATAAGCATAAATTGGCTATAGATACTGGCATTGAAGTAGGTGATGTTTGCCACACAACATTTTCTATCCGCTGAACGAAACATTTTGTAGTCTCTAGGAAATTTGCTTCATTGTGTTAATACATATTTGCATTCCCACCCTGGTAACTTTCCAGTACCTATTTCAAGTCTAGTAACTTTTTGACCCTTTTGGAACATTTCTGAAACTTGTCGTTATTTTCTGATATTTGTCGCAACTTTCAAAAACCTCTGGTCCCAACAAATCTACAATATAAGTCTAACAGTGATAACCAATGTTATGCCACAATCATCCGCATTAAGGTGAACAGGTGAACAGGTGAACAGGAAATTTATATTGAACTTTCTGTACACGTGTACGTGAAATAGTGATTGCACCGAGCTAGAATGCAATTATTCCTCTTAGGGACAACGGGAGTCACGAGTTTAATACTGCTCTCCAGGAGCTACTATTCGAGGTTCATCTAGACAAACAATATCTGCTTTTTACATACTTTCGGCTCCACTGAAAAGCTGAAATCATTTAGCAAATACTCAACTAAACTTTAAACTACAGTTCAAGTCCTTTCAACTTCCGAAGATTGGCGATCCAACTGGTTATCATAATTCTGCAAACTGCAGCTCAGAAGATTTTAGTTGAGGTTTTTCCGAACCAGCGGCGCATATCCTTCAGTTCCTTTCACTCATTCAACTTTACACAGAACACAGGTCTAATAACCTGTCTTAAAAGATTATGAGCTAAATTGAGATTTCCGTTGAACCAAAGGATAAGAGTCATATTGAACATTATGTGAGGTCTACTTGCAATATTATTATACATACAGGGTATGAAAAAATAATTGTTATTAATAACTGAGATTTTTGACAAAAAAACCTAGATCAGAAGGATGGCGATAATGTTGAAAATTGTAGTAGCCATTAGTAAACATGTCAACACCACAAATAACAAATTGGCCAAACGTTAAAAATTGGGGCATGATCAGTTTACTGCATAAAGTGTTCCTAAACCCCAAGCAATTTGTATGTTACCGGTCCCGGTAGCTGTCTGGAATATTTTCATAGGCGCCTCATCAAGTCAACGTGGAGTCGATGTTAATTAACTCGATAAAAATAATTTTTTAATATAAATTTATTAGCTGTAGTAGTTTAATTACGTCCAAATTACATCCAATTTTAATTATATCATTTGAATAGAGAATATAATATTTTTGTAATATAATGCATTCAGAAGTCTTCTGATATAGTGGCGGGACGCAGCAGGATTTGAGGTACAGCTATTTAAAATGTTGATTTAAATGTTCCTTCTCATACCCAATTGACGTGTTGTTTTTAAAATCGGTAAATGTTCCCATTTAATAATTATTTAAGGTGGCTCTTGTGGAAATGATCGCCTGTATATTCAAATTCAGCTCGGCTTGATCTACCTGAAGGTTTCTGTTTCTTTAGGAATGTAGAATATCTACAGTCAGTTTATAGATAGTAGGTACATACTTACGAATTTGCTGTTAAGACTGTTTTAGACTTAAAATAGTTTTGGCAATAGCGCGTTGACTAGTATCCGTTGATATGCCATATTCGTTTTTTGTTGCTTTTATTATATAAATCTGGCGTTTTATATAGAATGATATACCCACTTACGGCATTTTCTTATATGCGCCTTAATTTCTCTACTCATTTTCATGCCACCATCGAATTTGTAACATCAAGCAACGCGACAGATTGAATATAAAATTGAATAAGTACAGCGATTCGATTATCTACAGCTTCTTTTTCCGCTCCTTCTTATTGCCTACAGTTTATACATGTACATGTTCATGACTTAAACACGTTTTGTTGATGGTTTATGCAAGAGTTACACATAATTAAATTTTCGCAACCATTGTACTCCTTAACAGGCAAAGATTTGCAATTAGTATGGTTCACTGGAAACGATTTATTAATAACTACTTTCTTCCTCTTTTAATTTCTTCTTCTCATAGTGCATCTCCTATCGGAGGTTTGCTATCATCACAGCAATCCTGACTTTATTGACTGAACTCTGACTGCCTCAGGTTCTTTATCCAGAACACACGGCGTCTGTCAATGCTACGTCTTCCACTATTCTTTCCTTGGACTATCAGTTGGAGAAGAGTATTATTAAGAAGAGTGTATTTCTGTCCTCTCATTATATGAGCCAGGTGTTGAAGCTTTCTTTTATTCATGGTGTGAATGATTTCGCATTCCTTCTGCATCCGGTTCAGCACTTCGGCGTTAGTATTTCTATCGGTCCAGGGAATACGCAACATTCTACGGTAGCACCACATTTTGAATGCTTGTACGAGTACTTTTTGAATATAATAATTTTTCGCAATTCGACGTAAATATGGTAATTTTTCTTTTCGAATGCTTTAGTATTCTTAATTAACTTAATTTACCATGTAAATTTGGCCAAAATGTTTTTCTGTTACACCTGAAAACTATGTTATTATCTTGAAAACTCTATTTGAAACAAATTGTTGGAATGTGGTGCATTAAATAAAACAATTGTCAATAACTGTAACATAGTATAATTATAGCTGCATATATTATAAAACATATAGATAAAATACGATATAGTACAGGTTCGTTGATTTATCAATAATTATCCCATGGAAGCTGCAACAGCTTTTCCAAAACTTCAGTATTTCTATATGCTATTATTCCGAGCTTGTTGCACTTGGAATTTTCAGGTTCCTTGTACTTTAGGTCATTTCGCTGATTGCTTTTAATGCCAGCCATCTCTACGATACCTCCACCTAACGCCAATAAAATAGCATGAGGTCCGCACGTGTCCCATAAATATGTTGTGCCTTTTGAGAGGATATAAGCATCGGACACACCTGAAATAATAAACTTATCGTTATATAAGGTGTGATATGAATGTCAAGTACGTAAATGCACGCCTCTCATAAAGGAATTAAATATTTTCGGGCCCCATTTTGGTCACAAATTTGGTTTCCAAATCCAAAACTTTATTTGCGACATAAACAAATTACACAATTACACTACAACAATTAGCTTCATCCATATCAAATCATATTCAAATGAAGTGAGCTGAAAATACTTCATGTTTGAGTATTTTGATGCGAACAGTTTACAATTTTCAGTCTAACGAGAGTGACATATTTTTTTGAGAATTTTATATATAATATTCTAAAAGAAAATAAGTTTTTATTAATTTGGCTTCAAGACTATTCATATCACTTACTTATTTAATCATTTACACCATACTTAGGTAACCTATAGTTTATACTTCAAGTATATTTATTGCTTAGCATTCGACATTTTCAAATAATTCTTAAGGTTTCCATGTTTTAAGAAAAAGAAAAGGTTTAGGTTAAATATGTGATAATTATAAAAAATTATTCCTTTCATAATATATTCATACTATACATATGATTGAAGTTTCAGGTCATAAACCAAGAAAACTGGTAAAATTGCAAATTTGATCCCCCAAGAAACGTTAATGGCAGGTGTTAAACTAAAAAATGTATAGTTTTTCAGTCTTTACTGTTGTTAAAAATGATTTAAATTGAAAACGCATTTCAACAGTTACTGCGATTTAAATTTTTACACATTCATTAAATCTTCTTATAAATATCTATGCAGCAATAAATCCTAATCAGAGATGATTTTGAATTGTCCAATCTTTCTAATCATGATACTAAAGCAATAATTTTATTTTACTATATTATAGTTATAAAAAAATATCTTTTAACTCCACCCCGTATGTAGCTTTCTTCGGTTACGTAGAAATCACTTACCTAAAATGACCGTTAATAATTTATATCCGGCACCGCATGCCGTAATTAATTTAAATCCGCTTTTGCGAAGTGTTTCCAGTATTTTAATGTTTTCCGTACCACCAGTACAAATGACCACACTCTTCTTCCGTTCTGGAGAAATCTCCAATGATGATAGTCTTTTCGTGCATCCATTTTCATGGGAACAAACTCCCCAATGACACTGAAATCTAGCATTCAATGAGGTATCTGGTACTCGACATGAACTAAATCCTCTATTGGAAAGGTATATTTATGTTGTGTTACCCTTCATCTATTCTCTGCTCAAAAAACGGTTGGTTTACTACTCCCATAACAGGATGTCCTTCGCTGTTATAAACTCCAATAAGCACTGTGACGCACTTTAACCCTTTTGGATAAACATTTTCAATTTTTTCGTCATATCCACCTCGAATGTATTCATTTGTACCATCTAAATTACATGAAAAAATACATTATTTCAAATATGATGTTATACAGGAGATTTGCATGCGTTCAGCAGATCTCCGTTTGCTTAACTAAATAATTTTGCTAAAATATTTGAGAAGTAGGAATCTCATATTTACTGCACTATACCTATGGGGTCAATCCAAATGCTGAGCTGCTCTAAATCAAACGAAATTGTTTCATCGGGAAGTATTTTGGTATTGATTTCTTCAATTGATACATCTTTGTGAATCTCTTCGGCCAAAATGTTGGCAATTTCTCTGTCGTCGTTGAGCAATTCCGCAAGCATAAGCGCTGTGTCTATGGAATTGCATTTCACTTCTACGATAAGTTCTTTGTTAAGTTTCTTGCTGAAAAAATGGTTGCTTTCCTCCCCATACACTCTTTCGCCCATGCTGGGAAACTGGAAATTAAAAATCGCGTGATTATTTTATTGTACATATTCATGTTTAATTATTGTTAATTTCAAAGATTCTAGGTTCTAAATTTAATAGTAACTTAAACATAACATGCTTAAACGCTCTCAATTGCCTTACTTCTTAAATCTCTGTTGGCAGTTTAGTTTAGTTAGACTTGGTTACAGGACATTATACAAGAAATATACGTATTTAGAAATGGCAGTAAAATTCAGAAATGTAATAACTTATTGGGCATTCTATTAAAAATAATAAAGTTTATGCCTACTTCCGTTATAACCGGAAGTGACTCCACAATTTTTCAATTTTTCCTAATTATAGTTTCCCGGTCGGCCACCCTGTCCAGGGAGTTATTGTAGGATGTTACGTACTTTTTGTCCCACGTCATGTTTAACCATCGCCTGAATTAACACGTCTGCTAAAGTTTTAAAATCCTCTTGGAATCGTGGATTGGCCTCTTCGATCGGCTTCTGTTCAATTAACTTTTGGAAAAGTTTATCATTGTGCCGCAGCAATCTTGCGATGTTAGCAGCTTTTTCGGATGATGTGATAAGTGTTTTTAAGAGCTCCATTTCCGAAGTTCACATTCCAGTATGAAAAATTGTTCTGGTTGTTAATTAATTTATGAAATCACTTACCGAAAATTACTTTAGGAAAATGTTTACATAATTGTTCAAACTAAGCACTACTGGAAAGACAGCACTGGTCTATTCTATATACTTCATTTTATTTATCGATCCTTTCTCCCAGTGTGTTGAAATAGACTGTTCTAAGATTTGACCTGGATGCCACATCCACATTTTCTAAAATAGAAAATCCACGTTCCAGAGGATTCAATTATATTGGAACTTCTTTATATAGATTTTCGCTGAATATGTGCGTTGTGACCTATAGATGGCACTATGTTAAAGTTGTACATGTACTTGGCTCTAAATAAAATTGATTCGAGTAATAGAGTTCTGCAAATTTTCCGAAATCGTAAGAAATTACTATTGTAAACGAGTTTCTAGATGCCCGTGTATACTGGATGATGAGCGTTGGTGTTAATTTTGGTTCCGAGAAGTGAGCAAAAACGAGACGGAAAATATGAAATATTGGAATAATCTTGCTTCTAAGTTTCTGATATTCAAATTTCGTTTTCTGGGTCACAACTACTGGAATTTCCTCCCTCATGTTGTTATGGCTGAATCGAATTTTCAATTCTTGCTCAAATGTGACTTGATAAACTTCGAAAAAAGCATCGTCACATTTGAGTCGATTTTGCAGCTCAGTAAAAAGCATGGTCAAAGTTCTTGAAATAAAGACTTTTTCAGAAAACTACCAACATTCCTTATCGATGGTTCATTTTCTAATGCCATTAAGTTCTCTCTGGAATGATGTAATAATGAGCGTTCTTGCTCATTTTGCTTCCGCGAAACGAGCAAAAATGAGATGGAAAACATGAAATTTTGGCATAATCTTGCACCTAAATATCTGATAATCAAATTTTGCAAAACCGACCAAGGCAAATTAGTTAGTACACTAGTAATTTATATAGTTTAAAAACCCAAGATCCTCACTACGAAAAAAACAAAATAATAAATGTCGTGTCGGAAGAGTTACCCGAAATAGGTAACAAAATCCCTGGCGAAGAACGGATAACCACTGAGATGTTGAAGGTGGAGGGAGAACAGCTTAGAGAAAGCTTAAACATCCTGTTAAATAAGTGTTTGATACATGGGAAAATACCAAAAATATGGGAAAATTAAGAAGTCAACTGAACAAAAAGGGACACAAAAATAACATCGGCCAATTAGTTTGCAGTCCCACTTGTACAAACTTCCTTCAAAAATAAATACAGACAGATTGACGAAAAAATGGACGCATACCAACCTTTTTAGCAGGCCGGCTTTCGCAAGGGTTTCATCACATTAGAACATCTTCAGACAGTACGTACTTATTGAAAAAACGACAGAATATAACATAGGTACCCCAACGTTTGGCTTTCATTGACTACCAGACAGCGTTCGACTCTGACTATTGAATATTGGGAAATTCTCAAAGCGCTGGACAGCGCTAGGATTGGCTCAAGGTACTTAGCTCTGCTCAAGCATATATGTGACAATAGACAAATAAATTAAAACATCGAAGGTTCCTATAAAGCGAGGCATCAGGAAGATACGATCTCTCCGAAACTATTTACGATGACCCTAGAGGATGTATTTAAGGGCTTGGACTGGCAATATAAGGGATTAATATAGACGGAACACTCAATATACTAATCAGTAATTCATCGGAAGAACTCAAATATATGCTAGAAGCACTTCACTACGCATCATCTAGGGTGGGACTCCAAATGAGTCCGACGAAAAGAAAAATTATGAATCTAGAACAAATACAAATTCAAGTTGAAAATCAAACAATAGCAAACCCAACAGAATAGATATATGTATCTCGGGGGGCTAATATACAAAGAAGAAAACAAAAACCAAGCGGTGGAAATTCCTAGAAGAGTATAAGTTGTAGGTCTCAGCTGGGCAGCTTTTGGCAAACTCGGACTCATTCTTAGATCTAGGGGCACCCCCATAAACATTAAAAGAAAAGTTTTCGAGCAGTGTGTTCTACCAGTCGTCACTTATGGCCTCGAAACAATTCCACTGACATGCAAAGCAGTTATTAAACTTCAAGTCACACAACGAGTGATGGAAAGGGCTATAAAGTCCCAAATGACGAAATAAGAAGAACGCAATTAACAAATGTTAGCGAAAGAACAGTGCAGCTGAAATGTGGATGGACTGGCCATATTTATTGCAAGAGAGGGCTCAGAGAGCTCGACATACAAACTAACAGCTTGGCGGCCAAGAGAGTGCAAAAGAAGTGTTGGCAGACCTCAAAAAGATGGCATGACGACATTCACAAGATTGATGAAAAAAAAACTGGATGGGGGACAGGATATGAACAGGCAGGAATGGAAAACTATGGAAGGGAACGGACTGATAAGAAAATAAAGTTATAATATCTGTTTTAACATAATTTTAAGGTGTTGTGTTGACTTAACATTTGTATCTAGCAATCCATTGGTGCCGTTTTAGATCTTTGATACCTGATGATGGTCTGGATATAGTGGACCTTCACCCAACATTTCAACCTGATTCAAGCATTCCTGTTTGTTAACCGAAGGCTAAAATATGACTTACCTTCCAATTTAGGATGACGGTAGCCTTGAGAAAATAATGGATCCAGAAGCAATTTAAGAACTAGTAATTACACCCATTTATCCCCAAATTTAATTAAGTGACAACACTAGCTATTTTGAATCTCCATTACCACTGACAATCTATAGTAAACTAAATAAAGCTGTTCGTGCCCAAAGAAACAAGTAAACGGCATACATGTTATGAATTAGATAACACATATTAGTTTTAATTATCAAATTATTTCCGGTGCACAGCCATGCGTATGAATCGCGCATAATGTGAACTAATTATTACACATTCAAGGTGTCCTACTGACTAAAGAACTACTGAACTAAATTTTAAACTGAATTAGTTTTAATGGAAAACTATAAACTGCGGTCTATTGAAGGACGCTAGATATTATGGTCATCCGGAATTTGTATTGGTGGCTTACAGATCATCTCTACAACTGCACTTTGCTTTGTTGTGAATTGTTGATTTTGCAAAGCCAACAGTGTAAGAGTGTAAACAATTGACGGTTTAAGTGCCAACACGTATAGATCTACTCTAATAATTTACAATTATACTTTGGGCTACTCATTGAATCCTGACTTGCTCGCATGGAAAAATTAAAATTGATTTCTAAGGATTTTCTATGATGCAAAGAAATACTGCTTTGCTTTTAAACAATAAGCCAAATATTAAATTCCTATATTAAAGCTCCCCATAGGTAAAGCGCAAAGATTCAAAATCGCTAAACAACAACTTGAAACGATGTATAAAACAAAGACGTTACTACAGAGCGTGTAAAACATTTACAATTTCAACTACCACAAAACATCATATGTTTCCGAAAAAACGCAGAGCTTTCTTAGAATGTAAGCGGGTTCAAATTTCGAGAGTACTAAGCTCAAGCTCTCCTAGGGCCTGATTTGAACCTATCAGCATTAATTAGCTGGGTGTAGTCTGAAGATAACACTACCTAAACATGTACATATTTTCTCTACCTTAAATAGGTAGAACCTCTCTTATGATACCTCACAGCTTCCCTTATATTGGAGTTGCAACAAATACGATCATTCTTTTGTTGATCATGTTTGGGAAATGCTCCCTTACGTACTGCTCGTTACTCAAAGCAGTAAAGTTTTCTTATTCCAAAAAGCTATTTGTCCGCCAAAGCCGCAAAAAAATCCCTTCTAGTTTAGATTTTTTGGACACAAAAGAAAAACTCTTTAAAAGGCTCAGTCCAGCTTCCTAATCAAAGATTACACCATTGACAAAATCTTTAACATGTATAATACTAACTTTTAAATACACAACAAATATACTATATCACAATTTAAGAGCAAGCAAATATTCCCACTTTAAAGTTACATTTATAATTAAGTCATCTAAACAACGCAATGTATCCAATTACAAGCAATGTCATAGGCATTGTGAACATCCTTAAATGAGCAGCAGAAGATGACGGCCAAAACCACACTAAAACAAAACACATCTATTAAATTTATTGCTACTGCTTGAGAATATGTAACATTCATACAACATCAATAACCATGTGTGGTAGAATGATAGTTGAATCATGTCGAACCATTAATTATATTTCTGAAATTGAATTAGGATGGATGAGAAATGAACGCTCATTCATATGAATTTGCACAACAAAATAATAAAATTACATCTGGGGAGTAATTTTGGCTTGCTGATGAGCACAACAATTCTGCTCTTTGATACCATTGTGCGAAACAGTTCCACGGGTCTCATGCGTTGAACTTGAATATCAAGCCATTCTGTCAGATTAGGGCCTGTAATTCCCCCTTACATTATTAGCTGCAGAATTTCACATTTGGTGTTTCAGGAGATAGGCAGCAGCACTTCAAGCTTTATTGTTTAACGGTAAACAATACTTCCATTTTGTTGTTCGTTTTTCTCAAAACCTACTCGTTCGCGACGCTATCCAATCAGGAGATCCTCAGAAAAGTCCTGTATGACCACGTCTCAAAGGCCTCCAATCCCTTTTAGGTTTTCCCAACACATACAGTAAAACTGGATACACGCAAACATGCTAGTTCTTAGGTCAGCGTCATTAATTATAGATTCAAACTTTAACTCATATATTACTATTAATCAGTAGTACTCTTGAAAGCAACCTGCAAGAGCTGAGCTACAAATCTATAAAAATGCAAATAATTACTTGGCAATACCAATTCCATTTATTCCGGGACTTTCAGATCAAATTAAACGAGTAGGTAAAAAATTTAATATTAGGACTATCTTCAAAACTGAAAATACAATTAGAA